TTCCACTCTATGTTTTTATATTTTTGTAGGGAATGAGGGTAAAAAAATAAAAGGAAATACGAACAAATTAAGGTTGTATTGTAATCTCCCAATTGTTTTAGCAGTATAAAGTATCGCACAGGCGTCTAAGAGGCATTAGTCTGTAATTCTAAGAGTCCCACTGTCGTTACTATGCCCGTTGGGGTATTTTATTAGTGTAGGCAAGGAAAGTCTTGTTGCTGAGAGGCTGCGCTGCGTTACATTGAGATGGGTAGTGATGCCGTTGGTTTGCATACTTTGGTGTTATCTTGTAATTGGGTCCTGGTAGTAAGCAGGTTTTGTTACCGAGTAGTGTTATTTTATTTAAATAGATACTTTTGAGGATAATTTCTAACATCAGAAGTGGTATAGTTTATGACATTATATTATTAATGGCACCTGGGCGACGAAGCTTTATTCGGCTAAGAGAAACTTTAAACTCTTAAGAGGAAAGTTAAATAAATAAATATATTTACACAACAAATGGAATGCATGAGTATAAAACATAAATAGTTTTGGTAATAACAAAGATATTCATACTTTAAATATTGGGAACAAACCTAAGCTTGAAATGCCAGTTACTAAACTCCACAGAATTAATAATCCATTTATTGGGCTATGTATATGCTTATACAAAAAAAAATCCTAGAAAGTTATTTCTTAAGTTAACACGAATACTTGACATTGAATAAATATAATTTTATGGATTTTATCGCGTTTAATTTAAAGCTATCTAAAGGTAGCTAAATACTAAGTAGGCTAACTATGAGATCGGGACGTCAAACACCTCAGTCCTCCCGTGTGACTATGAGTGCTCTAAAGCACCCGAAACGTCGGGAATTAAAAATAAATTAAATCAAACGCGATTTTATTTAATGTCAGAAAATGTTTTATAATTGTCAATCAACAAGTTTAAAACTTTGACTAAACAAAATGTACCTACATATATAAAAGGCTTCTATATATATATATATATATATATATATATATATATGTATGTATGTATATATATGTATATATATATAAAAGCCTTGTACCTACTATATAATCAACGACATCGACGCTTCAGAAGAGTTCATTGTCTCGGAAACATGTTTAGGGTATAAGAAATACAGTTGATAAATAATAAATATTATTCATTATCCAATATATTAATTATATATGGATAATGAATAATATTTATTAAAACAAACGGAGAAGAAGGCGAGTAAAAAGTATACCATTTTAGAAGTATCAGGTTAATTAAGTAAGTATATACCTATTATATTATTAGTATTGATATAATATTATGTAATATAACAAAGTATAAAATATAAATTCAAACGCAAAATATTAAGAGATTAAAAGAGGTCAACAACAATTTTACATACAATTAATAATCAATATTTAGATATTTTAATTAATGGCCTAAAACTGTTAAATTTCGGTTATCTACAAATAGCGTAATATATGATAATTGGATAGCATTGACAAATTATACATTAATGTTATTTTAATTTGTTTATATTAATAATTATGCAATAAATTATTACATGTTAAATAAAATATTAAATACTTAATATCATCATAATTAATTAAAAGGTTAAGCAACATTTTAATATCAATTAATAACTAATTTAATTATGCAATTAATTAATTATTATATTAATTTAATAATTAATTCTTTAAGAAAACTTTTAAATCTTAACCTTGTTGCTACGTGATTATTGTCATGTTCAAAGAATAAACTTTTATTACTATGGAAAGTCACAACTTTACAGTTATTGGCATCCGAATATATCATACCAGTTTCACGGATCGGTGCTGGTCAGTAGCATTATAAGTGCCTCGACTTTGTAGAAGTTAATAAGTTATGAACAAAGGCAAGCACAATCTCAAAAGTTCTTTTACAAGAAGGTGTAGTTGGGTGGTATTTTGAGCATTTATTATAAAAAATAAATAACATATCAAAATATAGTTTTTTGTTATCATTTATATAGTAGTTGGTAGGTGGCTATTTTTGTTAGCAAGCTGCGGTGAACTGTTTATTTTGTTTTGAAAGGCAACAGAGCTTGTGTAATTGAAGACAGAGGTATTACATGTTAATCCTCAAGAGTAACCTCGCATAATTAACCTTCTATAATTCTTGCCGTGGTAGTTCAGATGGTTAGCGCTCGATGTAAGCTTCACAGTACTCGAGCAACCCGGCTTCAATCCCCGCCGGCACCAATGAAATTGTTAATTGCAATTTTAAGTGCTGAATTACCACGTGCTCGGCGGTGAAGGAAAACATCGTGAGGAAACCTGCATGTCTGAGAAATAAGAAAAAAATATTTCGAAGACATGTGAAGTTCGCCAACACGCATTAGGGTAGCGCGGTAAAAAAAAAGCTGGCACACTACGCGATAACATCTGATATATATAAAGAAGTAAAAGTAAAAGTAAAGTAAAGTTAGCCTAAAGTCAGCTTATTTACGTCCCACTGCTGGGCACAGGCCTCCTCTCATTTCTGAGAGGGTTTTAGGGCAAGGAATTGTCCACCGCGCTACCCTAATGCGTGTTGGCGAACTTCACATGTCTTCGAAATATTTTTTTCTTATTTCTCAGACATGCAGGTTTCCTCACGATGTTTTCCTTCACCGCCGAGCACGTGGTAATTCAGCACATAAAATTGCAATTAACAATTTCATTGGTGCCGGCGGGGATTGAAGCCGGGTTGCTCGAGTACTGTGAAGCTTACATCGAGCGCTAACCATCTGAACTACCACGGCAAGAATTATAGAAGGTTAATTATGCGAGGTTACTCTTGAGGATTAACATGTAATACCTCTGTCTTCAATTACACAAGCTCTGTTGCCTTTCAAAACAAAATACTACAGTTCACCGCAGCTTGCTAACAAAAACAGCCACCTACCAACTACTATATAAATGATAACAAAAAACTATATTTTGATGTGTTATTTATTTTTTACAATAAATGCTCAAAATACCACCCAACTACACCTTCTTGTAAAAGAACTTTTGAGATTGCGCTTGCCTTTGTTCACAACTCATTAATTTCTACAAACTCGAGGCACTTATAATGCTACTGACCAGCACCGATCCGTGAAACTGGTATGATATATTCGGATGCCAATAACTCTAAAGTTGTGACTTTCCACAGTAATAAAAGTTTATTCTTTGAACATGACAATAATCACGTAGCAACAAGGTTAAGATTTAAAAGTTTTCTCATTCGCGGACATATGTCAACTTATGTAATTAATATAGTAATTTTTTAATTGCATAATCAAATTAGTTGTTAATTGATATTAAAATGTTGCTTAACCTTTTAATTAATTATGATGTTATTATTTAATATTTTATTTAACATGTAATAATTTATTGCATAATTATTAATATAAACAAATTAAAATAACATTAATGTATAATTTGTCAATGCTATCCAATTATCATATATTACGCTATTTGTAGATAATCGAAATTTAACAGTTTTAGGCTATTAATTAAAATATCTAAATATTGATTGTTAATTGTATGTAAAATTGTTGTTGCCCTCTTTTAATCTCTTAATATTTTGCGTTTGAATTTATATTTTATACTTTTTTATATTACATAATATTATATCAATACTAATATTATAATAGTTATATACTTATTTAACCTGATACTTCTCAAATGGTATACTTTTTACTCGCCTTCTTCTCCGTCTGTTTTATGCATATATAATTAATATATTGGATAATGAATAATATTTAGTATTTATCAACTGTACTTCTTACACCCTAAACATGTTTCCGAGAAAATGAACACTTATGAAGCGTTGATGTCTTTTCTTAGTGCATTTTTACGATTTTCTTCCAACGTCGGACAAATATAAATAATATATAAAATAACTTTAGAATAGAATAACTCTTTATTCGATATTGATTACAAGTAATTCTTATTGAATGTCACTTTTTTACTTTACCACTAGTTCGAAAAAAATCCTCTATCCTGGGAAGAACCAGCAAGAAACCCTACAATATAAATGACTACAATCTATTTACAAAGTATATTTTAGAAATAGCTTGGAAGCGATCACCTCATTCCCAGAGTTTGTTATCAATCATGTATTCATTTATATTATAATTACCCTTTTTATACAGTTTTTGTATAATGAAATATTTAAACTTAGGAACAGAGATACCCTGTATATTTCCTGGGACTTTGTTGTAATAGCGTATACATTGCCCCAAGAAAAAATCACTGTCTTTATGGAGTCGAGAGACTGGTATCACTTGTTTGTGTTTGTTCCTAGTGTTTACAGAGTATATATTACTTTTTTTAACTAAAACTATCTTTGTTTCTGTGAACATACATTAAATTTTCGTAAATATACTTAGGCCAAAGTTAATTTATTTATTTCTTTAAAATTTTCTCTACAAGTTTCTCTCGGTTTAAGGTTGTAAATAGCTCTTATGGCCTTCTTCTGCAAAATATAATTTCTAAATCGGCCGCATTTCTCTATAGCAAAATCCCATAAGACATTATGCTATGAAATAACAAAAATAAACCAATCTAGCCGTCTCGACACTAGTGAGATCTCTAATCATAAACGACCACAATAAAATTTATTTCTTTGCGCAGTTTAGTACGCAAAATATATTAATAAGTTTAATTTTAAACTCCTTTTTTATATCGCTGAAACGCTGTTATTAATTTATTTAATTAACCTTGATTATACACCATATATTTACGAATATAAAAAATGACCTTCATGCCTTATGATATTCTCTACCAGTCAACCCTGGATGATTTGAGGAACTGGGGCAGCTTATCGCTCTTCAGTAAAAAAATATTTTTTTTATAAAATATCTAACTTTGTCAAACTTTCCTTTTCTCGTTATTTTTCAATTTTTATCAATATATGCTATGAAAATTAATATTTTAAACATGTCTATAATAGATAATTTTATTCGATTTTCAGCTGAGGAGTAACTTGCAATTCTTGTCAGACTTACCATGCGTGCGTCGATGTCCCAGAATACTGTCAATTGTGTAAGCTGCACCTCGCCTGGGACCAGACATGGTATTCGATGCAGCTGAGGTACCAACTGCCGCGACAGATTCCACAGCAACCACCTCAGCGACCGCGCTTGTAGCGTCCTCCCTTGATACCGACAACATCGGTGACACCAAGAGGAACCACAAACTCACCGTTTCCTTACAAGTAATTTACTACTATTAATTTTACTAAATTTATCCTACTATATACTATAGATAACTCAAGAATAGTCCACTTAAATGTCAATTTTAAAGCGATGTCATTGAACACATATCTAATTCACATTTACAGGTTTACGTTCACGATCTGTATAGTCTCACTTCGCAACCTGTCTCAGGCATGTCCGTCACCAATCGACATCTCCATATGACTGCTATAAATCATTCCGCCCTGGCCGCCTTGCTAGTACTGTCTTCGTCACACTTACAGCGTTGCATCTAGCCATCCCCCTCGGACCCGCCCCAACGCGCCATTGGCCCACGTTCCAGCCCGACCTCGCCGCTCAACACTTCCCAAACTTTACATCTAGTCCTTAATCTAGTACCAAACTCAGTTTACTTCGTTTAGTTGTCAATTAGAAATAAACAATGAACTCTCTGAATTTAATAAGTAAGTACCTGCATGCAATGAAATCATGTAAATTAACAAAAATATAATTGAATCAACTAAGTGGAAATTGATTTATAAGATTATCCTTCTATTTGAATATTGTTATATTATTAATTTGTTCTCTAATAAAGATCCAGGACATAAAAATATTATTACAATAAAATACTTTAAACTAAAATTATCATACAGCCCTATTTTCATGGTAGTGCGCAAGAACACTGTTTATTGTCTATGTACCGTACCTACTATTAACTCTAACAGATGAAATAAGGATCAGAAAAAAGGAATAATACCTGCGGAAATTCTTTCGCTGTTTTTGCTCTGGTCAGAGGCTACTTATTATGAAACGTAATGGGGAGGAAAACAAATAACGTTAGACCAACAAAAAGAATTAGTTTCTTACGTAGAAGCATTAAAAATAAATTTAATTTTTAAATCATAGCCCTGATGTAAGGAAATAAACATTTATATTTTTTTACGTAGTAGAGCCATGCTGCGGCTATAATATAGTAGAATCGCGAATGGGCCGATTCGATAGGGGAAGGACCACGCTTTTACAAAATACCAGCGTAAAATAGCAGCTTAATGCTGCTGTGTTTCATATGATGAGTGCAGAGAACCGGAGACTCTTTTTATTAGAAACGAGGCATTTATCGGGCAGACATCTTAGTCCTCAGGGGTGACAACGCATCTGCATTTTGATTTTAATTGAGAATAGATGTAGAGTCATAGTATCCACTTATCATCAGTTAGACTGTGTGCTCGTTTGTCCCCCTATTTCTATTAAAATTATACCAAACTTTAGCACCATGATCAAATCTTAGCGATGATATCATCATCAAGATTAATAATACTCGTACATTTATGAAGTGTAACTTATACCTTCAGAGAAAAGACCCGGCAAGATATCTTTCATACTAAAATTTCATTTGCAACTTATACCTACTATAATCAGTTCAATTTCAAATGTTTTAATTGTAATGTATCTATTTTCTACTGACTTCAAAAAGGAGACGGTACTCAATTCGACTGTATGTTTTTTTATGTGTGTTACCTCATAACTTTTTACTGGGTGAACCGATTTCGACGATTCTTTGTTTATTTGAAAGCTGGTGGTCCCTAATAAATTTGATCAATGTCTAATTAATAGTTTTTGAGTTATTCGTAATAATATATTTTGAACTTTTACAAAATTTTTAATTTTAAATTATCGAGGTGGCTGTGCTCTCTTTCCGCAGAAGTTCATCCGGATATTGATATACGAGTATTACATATATACAATTTTTTTAATAAAATACTAGTAATGTTATTAAACATTACTAATATTCCCTTTAACCACTTCTGGTAAGTTAAAAATGCTTGTGTTAGAAGTGGTTCACGACAGTATTCGAATGGCGGATTCGAACCCACTACATTTAAAGCATTTATTGTGAAATTGAAAAAAGGTTTAGAAATATTGATGACGTGAACCAAAATTCATAATTAATAAAAGTGTTCCATTCTAGTGATAAATGTCTAATTTATTGAATGTCGTAATCCTATTTCGTGAAATTTTAGCCTCGCGAAGCTTACCGATTATTGCGTATCTTCTCATAGTGTACTTTATGTAGTAGACTGTTTCCAAGATTGTGAGAAAGATAAGTTCATTGCGTCTGTTTTCAATGTTAGTATTCTGTTAGTTCAAATGATAAATCCGCAAAAGGGGCATTTCATGCAAGTAATTTTATTAAGTATTACCAAGCGACTTTCAATTAAAGTGATCATGACGGCTCCGTTGCGCAGTGGCTTAGCAATGTAACTTGCTGCGCTAAGGAACGAAATACTTGCACGAAGGAAGTATTTTATGGACTACAAATAATTTTTCTGGGTTTGGATGTTTGGACTTGTGATGTATACACATCAACAGAATCTAGGGATATTTTATATTTCATCAAATATCTAAAAATCTATGATGAATTTTCTGATCTAGTAAATGGAAGAATGATAGGTTATTTTAAGGTCTTTAATAAAAATAAAAAAACATTTCGTAATTTTTTTTGTTTTAAATTAAAATGTTAATTTTTTTTAATCGCCGTAGAAAATTAGTATGATAAAAGAACTTCATTTCTTTTTATAAAACTATTAATTTTTATTAAAATTAAAAAAAAATCTTATAAAATCTAATTACTAATAATCAGTGTTGCCACTTTATACATCGACATCGATTGTTCATACTTAAAATTAAATTGTCAGTGTCTTGCTGCGATATGAGTTCCCATGTTCTTTGCAAGTGTTCGTAAAGTAATTGTTCCGTCGTCAAATTTGGCGGGAAATCTCTTAAAGCTTTTCGTTGTAACATTTCCCAGGTATGCTCGATAGGATTTAAGTCGAGCAACTGTGCAGACCAATTCAAAACTTGAATATCGTGGTGTCTGAGGGCGGCCTACTCCTACACCAGCTGCGCCGTATGGGAAGGAGCATTATCGTGCATGAGTACCATTTTCTAACATGTCCACGGCTCATAACATTTCATATTGACTCAAATGACGACATGACATGACTCTTAAAGCTCACACGGCACGTTAAAAATAAATTCTAATCCCTTGTCATTAATTAATATCAGTAGAAAAATTTTAATTTTCCTTGACTAAACGAATTACTAACAATTTTGCCGCCATAATTTGTTTTTTCTCATATTTATTTTTTATTTACACTTTTAGATTTTGAAAATAGAATAAAAGTGGTTTCAACCTGTATATAAACTTTTTATGGAAACTAAAAGAGATATCCCTAGATTTTGTTGATGTTTGTATGTAATCTAAAAGCCCCCACGATACACTAAAAATCCTAATGTGGAGGTGACGTTTTAAATAAATAGAATAGGATAGATGAAATGGAAGTAACAAACAAACTTTATAGATGCTTGATGGTAAGTGGCTACTGCACGTCCGTGAACACCAGCAATCTTCTTCAAGCAGAGAAGACTACAGATGTGTTATCACCCCTGGTTTGTATTTTCTGCCGACTTCAAAAAGGAGACGATACCCAATTCGACTGTATGTTTTTTTAGTATACGCTCATAACTTTTTACTGAGTGAACCGATTTCTATTATTCTTTATTTATTTGAAAGCTGGTACTTCACATGTGGTCCCGTATTATTTTGAGTTATTCTTAATAATTTATATTGAACTCGGCTGTACAACATTTTTAATTTTAAATTATATCTCTATTATGAGCGTATACTGTGAGTGCGGTGAGTCCCACAGTATACACATACATACATTCATTATTACTAGTTTCCTTCAAGATTATAAATTAAATGTTTAGTTAAGACGAGAGGCATTAAGGTTAAACAAGGAACATCATTATTATGTTCAAAAAGTATCACTTGTATTCATAACTGGATTATCTTGGGTGAATATGTTTTCTTAAATCACAGTTACAAGGACATTTTCTAAAGGCCTCTCACAAAATTTTAAAACTTGATTTAGAAACTGATAATTTTATCCTCGATTAAGAAGCACTATTGTGTTGTCATTGTTCTTGACACAGATTGTGACAAATGACGATTATTTAAAAACAATACGCTAAGCCGTGGCCCACGACGACTTAGCGCTTTTAGGTTTGTTTCCACTTAAAGCTCGAGAGGTTTCTCACGGGTTTCGCAAGTTGAATATCTTTTATCTTAAAAGGTAGGTATATAGGAAAGCAGATAAAGATTTTTAATGTTTTTTATTGAATAAAGATGGCAAATGAGCACTCAGTCCTGTGTGGAATGTGTGTGCTGCAAGTGGATGCTGTGGCCCTTAGACATCTACCCCTATCCTTGATCAAGATCAAAATAGCTACGAGTAGCTTAACCCTCACGGGTTACAACGCGTCTGCATTTTGATTTGAAATCGCGGATATATGTAGATGTCTATGGGCCGCAGCAACCTCTTATCATCAGGTGTATTGTGTGCTCGTTTGTCACCCTTATACTATAAAAAAAAATATAAAGGCGTTGTCACCCCTGAGCTGGAATGCTCCGATTTTCTACACTTGCCTTACGAAACGCTGCAGCATTAAGCTACTATTTAATAGCGCACTGAAACAGAAACAGAAACTTTTTTATTCAATATAGATTATAAATAATACTTATTGAAAGTCACTCTTTTGTATAATTACCACTGGTTCGAAAAAAAATCCTCTGTCCTGGGAAGAATCAGCAAGAAACCCAGCGGGACTTTTTATTTTAAATAACAGCTTACAATCATGTATGTTTCACAAATTAACAACACAACAAATGAGAAATAGCTTGGTAGCGATCACCTTATTTCCAGGGGTTATTATCATCTATAAATTTTTTAATATTATAATAACCCTTTTTGTACAAACTTAGTTTAATAAAGTTTTTGAACTTTGAGCAGGTCAAATTTTGAATATTTACACTAG